TGCTGAACCAAGTCCCCTGTACCTGCTATATTTGGGCACTGGAATTTACAAGGCTCAGAGCTGGGCTTCAGCAACTGTAAGCGTGGCTAGAGTCCCCCTTCTGGCCTTCCAGAGTTATTCGAGTCTTGATTCCACCATGCAGGCCAGTTCGACCCTCTCCTATGTGATATCCCAGTTTTTCTTTTTGAAAAAGAGCTTATTGGGACCAGCAGGTGGCATAATGGTTACATCACTGAACTCCCACATAGTTGCCCACAGTTCAAGTCCCAGACCTGGCAGCTTAAAATCCATACGAGGGGTGGGGAGGGAGACCAGCAGTTGACGTAATGGCTATGTCGCTGAACTCCCATGTAGTTGACCGCGGTTCGAGTCCTGGACCCAGTGGCTTAAACTCCGCCCAGCACGTGTGCATGCATGTGTACCCAAGATACCAAGAGGAGAATGAAGAAGGTATTGTGGGGACCAGCAGTTGGCATAATGGCTATGTCTCTGGACTCCCACGTAGTCAACCATGGTTCGAGTCCCAGACCCGGTAGCTTAAAACTCACGCTGGGCGCTTGTGCGTGCGTGCCCAAGATCCCAAGAGGAGAATGGAGAAGGGATTGCAGCGTGGCCATCCCCCCTGGGGGGTGATTTCTCGCTTTCTATCTCTCTCTGTCTGGCGAGTGCACACACCCTATAGCAAAAACCTCTCAAAAAACAAAAAAAAAAAAAAAAAAGGTATTGTGGCGTGGCCATCTCCCCAGGAGGGGATGATTTCTTGCTTTCTGTCTCTCTCTTTTCAGCGAGCACACACTATACAAAAGGAAAAAAAATATTATTTCTTCTATGAGTGAGTAGATGAGGGAAAGACAGCACTTCCAACAGGGTCTCGACACATGAGTCGATGATCCACTCCCAGGGTCAGGCAGCCATGGGCACCTGTATGCCCAGTGCACCATGGAGGTCTCCAGACACGAATGTCGAACACTGCCATGTGGTCAGCTTCACAGAGCATTGCATTTTACTGCTCTGTCACCATCCAGCTCCTGTCCCCAGTTTTATTTCTCTCTTTTTTTTTTCTTTTAAGAGAGATTTTTGCTATAATGTGCAGTTGCCAGAGAGAAAGTGAGACATCACTCCCTGGGGGAGATGACCACGCTACAATCCCTTCTCCATTCTCTTCTTAGGATTTTCGGCATGCACACACATGCACCCAGCGTGAGTTTCAAGCCTCAGGATCCAGAACTCAAACCATAGTCAGCCATGTGGGAGTCCAGGGCCTTAACTACTATATGCCACCTGCTGGCCTCATGCCCCCAGTTTTCTAGTCAAGCATCGAGTGAACTGACCGGGGCCCTAACAGAGACCTTTGTGCGAGACTGAAGTCAGTCCATTGTACAGTGCCGTTTAGGCACTGCCGCTATTCCGGGTTCCCCATACCCACTCTCCTCCATAGCTCCACCGTGTCCACAGGACTTGTTAAAAGCCATCAGAGTCCTTGCCCACTCAAGATGCCCTACATTGAAGGTTTTCCCATGATATACCAGTTTAATACTAAACTTGTCAAAATAAATAAAAATAAACAGCAGTGTGATGAATTTAGAGCAGAGCTGGCCCCTGGGACTCACCTCTTCTTTTCCAAGCACCTGCAGCCCCTCCATTTGGTAATCCATCCCAGAAATTTGCCAGAACTCATTGTTAAGCACGATGTCGGCAGCTGTGAGAAGGTGGCCCTTTTCTTCACTGGCAGAATCAGAACAGAGTAGCCTTTGTGTGGCCCCAGCCCCAGCCCCAGCGGCCCTCCCACTTGCCCTGTGGATATGAAGTGGAGCAGTTACGTAACCGCTGGACGTTGCCTCCACACCCAGGGCAGGACGTGGCTGCATGGGGGACTGGAGAGAATTAGAACAGCCCCAGACAGCCGTGATGACCGGGAAGGGTGGTGTGCACGGGCCAGGGGCCCTGCATCTGCTCACCGGAAGGGCACTGTGCCCCCATCCATCTCTGCTGCCGTCCTCAGAGCAGCCTGTCGGGGGGACTAAGCCACTTCAGGTCCCTGCTTTCCCTCCCAACCCCACCAGCCCCTTGGGCCCCCAGCATGGGGAGAGCCGGGATAACCAGGGCAGGGTTGTCTAGGGCGTGGAAACCCCAGGATTGTGGAATTGGGTAAGCCACTGGGTTTTCTGGGGGCCAGAATCTTCCACAGTTAGCGTGGTTTAGGAAGATTGGGCCAAATTCCTGACTTCATTTCAACCTGTAGAGTACTTCAGTTTCCCTGCCCGTCCCCCCCA